TGGCTGAATTTTACGGAGGCTTGCCACGGTCTCCAACCCTCCTCCTTTCTCATCCGGGCTTGGGACCGGCAACGGCGGAGTTGTGCGAGTTTTATAGCGTTAAATCGTCATTGAATCTTTTTTGTTCCGAGCCATTTGCTGGTCTGCTTGTCTTGAACCCGCCCATTCGATAGTCCAGTCTATTAGCTTTATCGAATCAAGCATGCACTTTCAGAATGCTTACGAATAGTGGACACCACTTCCAGGTGTTCGGAATTCCTTTCCCTTCAGTATCCGTCTGATGCCAAGTTTCTATCGCTATATACTGTGAGGATCGTAATTTTGGGCATCTGGAAATAATGTTAATTAACCCCAATCATTCCGAAGAGTTAAACTTGATTCTACAATGCTGATAAATTAGGTTGGACACCAGTTACGGCATTCACGCTAAATAGTCCGGCGAATGTCCCGGAACAAAAACGAATCACTGAAAATGGCACAACACGAGACTAGCTGAGACAGCTTGTAGTTTCCCAGCATGCTTGTTTTGTTCTGTTTGCATTTGTTGTGTGATTTTGCTATTGGAGTTTGGTATGTTTTTAGCCATCCTCACCGATCGTTTTACCTTCGAAGACTTCAACGCAAACTTCTCATTTCACAGATTCCGTGTTTATTTCATAACTATTTGATAACATATGCGAAAGCTACATCTCTCTGTGAACAGACTCGACGGCATCTGATATTCCTTCAGGCCAAAGAAATTGAATATCGCTTGAAATTTCTTTAACTCGTTTGGACTTAAAACAGTTTGTTAGGAGCTAGTGAGAAAGCACATTGTCATGTTCAAGTTCTCCCTCAAGTTTAAAGCGTAAAAAGTTTTTATCTCAAATATTCGTCGTTCGTGATTAGCGTCAGGTGGCTCTAGCCGTGAATATGAGGCAAGATACATCTGGCAGTGTATGTGCTCAAATAGCATAGAGCCGTAACTTTGATAAGTCCTACGTAACTAGAACAAGGAGGGAGGCACTGTGGAGGTGAAATAATCTTGTGTTGAGTTATGTGCTAAACTGTTTGATATTATTTATGAACGTTCTTTTTTATCAACCTTCTAATTTCATCGAGTGAACTCCAAACTTGCAATATACGGCTTAGCCTTTCAACTTTCGCTATGC